GATGAAATAACTTGGTAAAATCACATATTGATTGCGGTAAATACAGCTCAAAATCATGAAAATAAGGGTAATGGAAATCAAATTAAAACGTCATTCATTTTTTGACGGCGGTAAGCTAAAAGACAGCCAGGACTTGGAAGACCGCCCCGACCAAAGCTGAGAGGTTGCGACACCTCATTTTTTGAACAATTATCTGAAGAGACTGGCCGATGTTGGTAGTAACGGGAGAGAAGGAGAATGTGCAGTTGAGATTGCATACTGAGAAATGATAGGCTTGAATAACTGGCGCGGACGGGATGGCGACCACCGACATTGATCAAGTTTTATAGATTGTCGTAGCGTGGACCGCTGGTGTAGGAACAAGTCCAGGTTGTTCGTGCTGCTTTTGCAACGTTTCCACATTTTAAATTCCTTCAGTCGACATTGAAGGTCTAGCCACATATATTCGATTTCCTCTCAAGGGTAGATAATATAATACAAAAAAAGGATATTATCTAGTATATGGTATATATCCACATTGGTTTACTATTGTTCAAGCAATTCCTGTTTTACAAGGACGTGATTATAATTGTGTACAAGGATGCAAGAGGCATATTAGACGGATATCGAAAGAACTTAGGCATTCTTCAATCTAGATTTGAAACCATCGAAGGACTATGGCACGATGAAAAAATTGTGGCTTTGATTTATATACCAGTTTGAAAATTATGGCTTTGATTTTCGTTTTAAAAAATTACACTAATTAATAAACCAGTATTATTATGTTTTATATATTTTAGGTGATAGTAAAATTATAATTATTCAAAATCTGCCAATTTCAATCGGTAAACTTTTCGATACTGGAACAATTCTTTTTATTACAATTTTAGAATCTTGATATCCAATTTTCGGAACGAAAATTGTTATTAGTTTTTCACTCTCCCCTTACTTTTACTTTTTATTTTTCTTTTTTCCTTTATTATTTAGTTCTCGAATAAACTTTTTATTTATTACTTTTTTTCTTCTTCTTTTTTTCTATCAGCCCTTTTTCTTAGTTTTTTTTTTCTTAAAAAGAAAAAAAAAAGTAACAAAACATGTGTATCAATAATTCATTTCCTTTTGTCGTTAGTTTATCAATAACCTTGAACCTAAATTTACAACTATGTAAGTTTAATAGTTCAATAGATTTAAGAATTAATTAAACTAGTACTTCACCCGTGCGTTGCACGGATCTCGGTTTCAAAATGAGAAAAATAATAATATGTAAATGACTATTTCTTTATAATAACACCAGTTCAAGTAAAACAAAGCATAAGGAATTAAAAAAACATAAACTTCATCTCCTAATTCAGAGTTATTTTATAAGAAACTCAATTAAATATTAGAAAAAAGAATACGCGAAGCCCCCAAAACACGATATGAAAATTAAGTAAAATTATTTAAAACATATGGTATAAGTCTCTTTCACAAAATAAAATCTACTACACTATATGAATCTTCTGCAAAATAACTAACTTAACAACAAACACGGTAGCATGGAAGTAACACAATAGATATTCAAATAATCTACAAATTTATCACTAACGACGTTCAATTAGTGAAGTACATTACTCAAACAACAATACAACTCAAACAACAATACAACTTATAAATATTGCAAAAGAAATGAAATGCATACGTCACTACCAATACTGATATCAACCTTGATACCAAAACTGATACTACTACCGATACTATTATCAATTCTAATACTCACTAATACTGATACTAATATAGATACTCATACTAATACTAATCCTAATACTCATACAAATATTAATACTAACATTAATACTAATACTAAAACTAATATTAATATTAATACTGATACTGATAATCTTACTAATACTAATACTAATACTAATATTAATACTAATGCAGATACTGATACTGATACTGATACTGATACTGATAATGATACTGATAATGATACTGATATTGATATTGATACTGATACTGATACTAATATTAATACAGATGCAAATATTGATACTGATACTAATACTGATACTGATACTAATACTGATAATAATACTAATACTGATACTGATACTAATACTGATAATGATACTAATATTAATATTAATACTAATACTAATACTAATACTAATACTAATACTAATACTAATACTAATACTAATACTAATACTAATACTAATACTAATACTAATACTAATAATGATACTCGTACAAATACTAATATTGATACTCGCACTAATACTCATACTGATATTAATACTCATACTGATACTTATACTGATACTCATACTAATACACATATTGAGACTGATACTGATGCTGATATTGATACTGATACTCATACATATACATATACTCATACTAATATTGATACTGAGACTGATACCGATACTCATACTCATACTGTTCATACATATATTCATACATATATAGATACTCATACTGATATTGATACTGATACTAATACTGATACGGATACTGATATTGATACTGATACTGATACTGCAACTAAAACTGATACTAAAACTGATACTGAAACGGATACTGATACTGATAGTGATATTGATACTGATACTGATGCTGATACTGAAACTGATACTGATATTGATACTGATACTGATATTGATAACGATAACAATATTAACACTTATACTGATACTAATGTTGATATATATACTAATATTAATACTAATACTAATATTAATACTAATATTAATATTAATTATAATGCTAGTGTTAATACTAATACGAATACTAATACTATTACCAATACTAATACTAATATTAAATATAATACTAATACTAATACAATTATTAATACTAATATAAATACTAAGACTAATACTAATATTGATATTCTAACTAATACTAATCAAAATTTTGTTGATGCACCACCATCTTTCCCATTCCACTTGGCGCGCAAAAGCTAGGTTCTTATCACAGTATCCACGTTTCCTCTGCATTCCTCCAAAACTCAGTCACTCAGTCGATTCAACTTGGGCTGCCGGCGAACGATCTCTCCTGCCTCTTACAGGGCCCGCATCCCACGCGCTCACCTCCTCCAACTCCACGCTCGCATTTTCCACCTCAATGCGCACCAGAGTAATCTGATTGCCACTCGTCTCATCGGCCACTACCATTCGAATTTCGCCGTCAGGGTCTTCCGTTTACTGAAATCGGCTTTCGTGTCTGATTCTTTCGTTTGCAATGGCTTGCTTATGGTTTATGCCAAGGTGGTTAGGGATTTGAGTTCAGCACGCCAGGTGTTTGATGATATGCCTGACAGAAATTTGGTTTTTTGCTGGACTTGTTTGATTTCTGGATCTGCTAAACTCGGATCATCTGAAGGCGCCCTCAATATATTTACGATGATGCTCGACGAGAATCTGCTGATACCATGGTTAGTGTTTTATCTGCTGTTCAAGCCTTACTCCCCCACGTCACTATGGTCGTTTATTTATACGGAAAATGCTGAAAGGTGGAGCAGAGTAGGGTGAATTTTGATCAGATTTCCGACAAAGGTAAAAGAAGCATTCTTTCTTGGAATACTATGATAGGTACTTACGTTCAAAACGGCTGCGCTTTAGAGGCTTTGACTGTTTTCAAATCGATTAGGTGGTTTGTTTTCCTGACCACGTCACTATGGTCAGCATCCTCTCAGCGTGTGCTGAAATCAGAGACTTAGACCTCGGAATTTGGGTTCACAACTACATGCGAACAAGTGGGAAAAAACATGTACTATCATCATCCAACGTAAATCTCGCATCTGCATTGATAGATATGTACTCGAAATGCTGGAATTTGGATGCTGCGAGAGAAGTTTTCGCCGAGAACTTTCCTCGGTGCCTTATCTGCGTGTAGTCACTCGGGGCTATTAGATAAAGGGTGTGAAATTTTCGACGAAATGACTCGAAAAGATTCTCTAATTTCGCCCAAGTTGGAGCATTATTCGTGCTATATCGATCTTTTAGCTCGGTCGGGTTATATATGCAGCGAATTAATATTCTACTTAACAAAATCAGGACATCCACCACAATATAAAGCCAGAACAAGTTCAGCTTGTTCGCCGCGATTACACTGCAAATGAGGGCTGGGAAACGTTTCTTTCGTATGAAGACACACACCAGGTGTGTTTTTTTACATATTTATTTCTTCCTCCACTTATTACCTCTGCCTTTTGCATTGATGTAGTAAAAGAGAATCGCAAATTACACTCATGGAGATAAATACATAATTATTCTGTGCAACTCCATTTCATTTACAGGACATACTTGTTGGATTCACTACACCAAAAAAGGGATTTTGTAACAGCCAAAATTTTCAATTTCTAATGGCTAATGGCTGTTAGAATTTTTTTAACGGATTATATTCGTTAGTATCATAGCTAATGTGTTAGAATTAATTATATGTTATTTTTTTGAAGTTTCTAAATAGTTTAATATTTATGCTAACGGCCTTTGTCCATTAGAATAAAAAGTCAACTTTTTCTAAAATAAAATTATATTCTAATTAATAAAAGTAAAATAAATTAAAATAACTTTTTGTTTTCCTTGTTCGTTTTTCCGTAAAATCTCTTATTTCCTTTTCAATCTGCCTCTTCTAAAAAATAAAATTTCTCAAAAAAATATGTCGCCTATCTCGAATTGTCGCCGAAACCCCAGAAACTCCCCTCTCTCTCCCTCTCTCGAATCGCCGGCCTCGCTGAAACTCCCCTCTCTCTCGGATCGCCGCCGTAGCTGAAACTCCCCTCTCTCTCGAATTGCCGCCGTAGCTGTAACTCCATTCTCTCTCTCTCATCGCCGCCGTAGCTGAAACTCCCCTCTCTCTCTCGAATCGTCGCTGTAGCTGAAACTCCCCTCTCTCTCGAATCGCCGCCGTAGCTGAAACTCTCATCTCTCTCTCTCTCTCGAATCGCCGTCGTTACTAAAACTCCCCTCTCTCTCTCTCGAACCGCCGCCCTAGCTGAAACTCATCTCTCGCTCGAACTACTGCGGTAGCTGAAAAAATTGGTCAATCGACGGAAGAAGGCTTCTCTAATTCTCCTGATTCCATTCTTACTGTATGCCAATTCTTCGACCCCTTTTTTCAATTTTTAGTATAATTTTTGCTTTTAACAATTGCCTCTCTTTATTTATTTATTTATTTTAGATTGAAAGTATGTATTAATAATTTTCATGTCTGTTTTGTGCTTCTGCTATGCTGCCTTGGTTTTGAATTGATAATTTAGATTGCATGCACTAGCAAAAATTTCAAAGTGCAACCTTATGATTTTCGATAAGTTAATTATACATTACAAAATAGTTAAGTTAAGTATATGAAGCCAGTGAATAAAGTTTTATATATATAATTGTATCATGCAGTTTTTAAATATGTGCAAAGCATGTAAAATTTGAAAATCTCTCTTCATATTCTTCAGGTAATAATCATTTTTTTTTAACATTCTCATTATATGAGAATGTAAAGAAATAAAGTATATGAGGTTGGTGCCTGTTTTAAGTTAATATCATTTAATTTGATATTTACCATTATATAAGGTCCCGTTTTGTTTCTCGTAACATGAGTTTTTAGCTATGCTGGACTTGGACTGTGTTTATGTGTGACGATAACTAGGATTTTTAAGATGTAAAGTGGTCATTGTACGTGTAAGGGATCATTTAAAGAATATCTAAAAATGTTACTGTAACTTTATTAGCCAATTAGGTTGTTTATTTTTCTTTTCTAAATTGTTTGTTGTTTTTTGTATCAGGTGGTTTACTTCTGTCCTGCAGACTAGCTTTCTTTTACAATATACTCTTCTGCACAATTCACAATTCACAATTCCGACAATTTGTGGCAGTTTAAAGGTATATTCAAAATTACATGTTTCTATTTCTTCTAAAGTATTTTTACTATACACTAAATCCTGCTGCAACTTTTGATATCCTCTAGACAACTATAAACATTGGTCTTAGAGTGACAACTCCACGTGAAAAAGAAACTATAAAACATTGGTCTTAACATATGCTCAATGTAAACGAAAATACTTAAATGAGTGTTTTGTCAGTGTTCTATACTTAGACTATCCATTCGATAATCTCGTTTTGTTTTTGTACAAAGGTCATGTCTCGTCTAATTAATAAAGAGTGGATGAACGAAAGTGATAGAGGAGGTCATGTTTATACAAAGGGGGTTGAAGATTTTCTTGAATTTGCTGATAGAACCAATGTTACTGAGTTGGCCACAATACCTTGCCCATGTGTAAAATGTCGAAACAGGATGCGTCATACTCCTATAAATGTTAGAAAACATCTCGTCAGAAATGGCATAGACAAATCATATACGTTATGGGCTTTGCACGGTGAAAAACCATTTGTGAATTCCTTTATTGATCCAATTGCTGAAGATGCTCACCAAGAAAACATTAGAGAAGAACAAATATTGGTTAGAGAGCTTGAGATGCGCAATTTGGTGGACAATATTCATGGGTTGCATGGGGAATATGAAGAAACCGGTGGTGTTGGCCAGGAAAAAGTTTCAGAAGAACAACATTTTAGTAGTGAAAAATATAATGAATACAAAAGATTATCATCTGAGAAATTATACTCTTCATGTGAAGGATCAGAGCTCATTGGTTTTGATAATGTCGAGTTTTGAGGTTTTTTATTCGTGCATCTATCTGTAAGCTATCTATCTATATATCTATCGATGCACTACTTTGGTTTTGTTTAGCGCTCTAATTGAATTGTTGGATGAATATATTTAGATTTATATATGAAATGAACATATAATTATTTCATGATTTTTGCTTGGGCTAAATTTTATTTTTCATCGTTGTGCTATGGGGCGGGATCACTTTACCATGTTCTACTCGATCATATCGATTTACCCTTGAATTTGTAAAATTGTTCGAATGTGGACCCGACTTTAGTTTACGGCTTTCAGAAACACTAGAACTAGAACTAGAACTAGAACTAATTTCTCCTAACTCCATCCGATATCAAGCTTCTTTGTCTTTTCCTTTTAGTTTTCCTTTGGAAACATCCTAGTGATTCTACAAATTGCGTAATCTTTAAACTTCAACTCAAAATTCAAACAAACCCCGGCCAATGAAAACTCTTGCATAATCCAGTGACCGTGTTCTTCTTCTTCGCCGCTCCGGCCTTTAGGTTTATTCTTGTAAAAAGTGAACATCCTGGACAAGCCGATTAAATTTCCCGATGACTCATCGTAAATTTCTTTGCCACTCGTTTGTCCCTTCCAAGTACCCGATTTTGTTCTTCTGGCGATACGAGTCTTACCATTAACTCGTAATAACTTGGTAAGAACGTACGTGACGTGCTTGAATTTCGTTTCGGAATGAAAATCTTCCCAATGAACGTCTTGAAGAACTTCCCATGGATCTGCTGTTTCGCCGTAAATCTCTTTTTCCGACATCCAATTCCATGGCAGTGGAATCCCCATTGATACTTTCAACAGGTAGCAATTAATCAGCTCTTCGTCCGACGGTACAACACCTGGAGCAATCCTCATTCTTCTCTCCCGTTCTTAATTCTCTCTCTTTCTCTCTCTCGTTGTTCTTCTCTCTCTTTCTGTCTCCTTTTTATCTTTCTCTCTCTCGTATTTTGTTTATTTATACAGGAACGGAATATGTATACATATAATATCTAGGGCAAATGGCAAAAAGGCCCATCACATGGGACTTAAATACATTTTGATCCACAAAAAAAACAGTCTCTCGATTTAGCCCATCCCCATGTCTTTAGTCTAAAATACCCTCAATAATATAATTCTTATCAATTCCACCAATTATGCTCTAACTTCCTTAATATTACACATTGACCCCAGATTTTAACAAATATGTCACATTAACCCCCAAAACTTTTTTATATCAGAAAATAATTTTTTTTCTGAAATATTTTTTTTCTGGCCAGATTCCGGCGTTGATCGCCGGAGACCGCCGGTCTCTGGCGTTGACTTTTTTTTTTTTTTTTTTTTTTCTTAGAAGAAAAAAATATTTTAATTAATATTACTGTTTTAGCTACTAAATTACTGTCTCAGACAGTAATACTACTGTTTGGGACAGTAATATTATGAATATTATTTTTCCGAACAGTAATATTATGAATATTATTTTTCCGAACAGTAATATTATTAATATTATTTTTTCCGAACAGTAATATTATTAATATTATTGTGTAAGACAGTTAAATTACTGTTGAAGATAGTTAAATTACTGTTGAAGACAGTAATTTAGCATCTAAGGCAGTACTGTTGATTAAAATATTTTGTTTAAGAAAAAAAATGAAAAAAAAGTCAATTAACAGTTAAATTACTGTCTCCGACAGTTAAATTACTATTGGAGACAGTAATTTAGCAAACGAATACAGTAATATTAATTAAAAATATTTTTTTTAAGAATAAAAAAGTCAATTAACAGTTAAATCACTGTCTCCAACAGTTAAATAACTGCTGGAGACAGTAATTGAGCAACGAATACAGTAATATTAATTAAAATATTTTTGAAGAAAAAAAAAAGTCAATTAACAGCTAAATTACTGTCTCCGGCAGTTAAATAACTGCCGGAGACAGTAATTTAGCAGCCAAGACAGTAATATTAATTAAACAAAAAAATTTAAGAAAAAAAAAAAGTCAACGCCGGAATCTGGCCGGAAAAAAAAACATTTCAGAAAAAAAATATTTTCTGAAAAAAAAAAATTGGGGGTTAATGTGATACATTTGTTTAAATCCTGGGTCAATGTGTAATATTAAGGAAGTTAGAGCATAATGGGTGGAATTGATAAGAATTAGGATTAAAATTGGGGTCAAAATTGAAATTAGGGTTAAAATTGGTTAATTGATGAAATTGGGCTAAATTGGGGTGTAAATTATGAAATTGGAGTTGAATTGGGTTTCAATGAATTGAGGCTAATTTTGGCATATATAAAAGGATTTTCCTTATTTGCAAATAAGTTTGAATGGGATGGATTTATTTGAAAGAAAAAAAATTGGATGTCCCTTTTTTAATTAAGTGTCCTTGTCATGGGCCTAGTTGCCATTACTCCTAATATATATATATATATATATATATATATATATATATATATATATATATATATATATATATATATATATATATATATATATATATATATATATATATATATATATATATATATATATATATATATATATATATATATATATATATATATATATATATATATATATATATATATATATATATATATATATATATATATATATATATATATATATATATATAGTGTTTTATGTTCATAAACATCTCCTTCAACACGGTAATGCAGCAGCAGTAGGACTCTCCCTCTTAGTATTTTTTTTTCTGTAACGTATATTTAATATGGCGAATGGCAAAAAGGCCCATCACATGGGACTTAAATGCTTTTTGGTCCACAAAAAAAACAGTCTCTCCATTAAACCCATCCCCATGTCTTTAGTCTAAAATACCATCTATAATATAATTCTTATCAACTCCACCCATTATGCTCTAACTTCCTTAATATTACACATTTATCCCGGATTTAAATAAATATATCACATTAACCCCCAATTTTTTTTTTTTCAGAAAATAATTTTTTTTTCTGAATTTTTTTTTTCCGGCCAGATTCGGCGTTGACTTTATTTTTTTATTTTTATTTTTTCTGGAAAACTTTGTTTTTTCCTGAAATTTTTTTCCGGCCGGTCTCCGACGTTGACTTTGAAGCAAATGTTTAGTTAGACTTGTCATTTAGTTCTAATAAGTTTTGTCACCAGGGACCTATATCCTAATACCCCTAAAAAAATCAATGTTAGAAGAACTGGACTGGACCGGCCGGTCGGACCGGTCCGACCGCAACCCGCCATGAAAGCGGTCCGGTCTGACGCTGAAAACCGGGATATTCAAGAACCCGGGTCAAATGTCAAAAACCTGGTTCGACCGGCAAAACCCGGCGAACCCGGAAACCGGTCAGTGACCCGGGTTCTTATCTAAAACACTTTGCCGGTTATTGGTAGTGGCCGGATCTGCACGAAATTCGCCGGAGGTGGCCGGATCTGGGTGGAGTAGGCCATGGGTGGCCGGAAATCTGGCGGTGGGTGGTAGGATTCGACGAGTTTGGGTCGTGGGTGGAAGAGATTGTGTTGTTGGATATGGAGTGATAAGAGTGATAAAAGAGAAGAAGGAGAAAATGGAGAAAAAAAAAAAGAAAAAAAAAACTGGAAAAAAAAGGGGGAGACGGGAGGGAGGTAGGTGATTTGAGGAGAGAAGATGGAGAGAGGAGAGATAGAAAAGTAAAAAAAATATATAATAAAAAAGGGATAATTTGTAAAAACCCCCCAATTCATTTACTTATATTGAGGTGGATATAACCTCCTTTTCATTATTAGTGAGAACCCCCTTAATTATTTAATTAAATTAAAATTAATACAATTATTAAGTGGTATACCTTTTTTTTTTTTACAGCAAGAATAGCAATATTATTAGGCCACCATGGCCAAGTTCAGAGGCAACGAGAAATCCTCAGTACAAATAAAAGAGCCTCGAGTAGCTAGTCTATGAGCGAGAAGATTTCCGGAACGTTTAACAAATTGAAATACACAATGAGAAAATAAACGAGCAATAATTAAACCGTCTTCAACAAATGAGCCAAAAGAGTTGAGCGTGAGAATCCCGTCTTTAAACGTGTTGATCACCTCTAAGCAGTCTCCTTCAATAATGATTGAGCTCCAACCTTGGAGTTGGGCCATCCTTAGTGCATGAAGAACAGCAAAGGCTTCACCATCCTCTACCCGTGGACGGCCTTCCAAACTTCGAATACCCCAACGCAAACAATTGCCTTCGCTATCTCGAGCCACAGCCGCTACTGTGTAGAAATTCTTCCCCGATGGAAAGCCAACATCACAGTTAATTTTTATCGACCCAATAGGAGGCGCTTTCCATTGACTTTGGTGTGTAGCTTCCATTCTAGTTGCTGATGAAAGTAATGCCTGCCAGAATGCGTGTAGGTAGTCCCGACTCCAATCCACCATCCGCTCTGACTTCAGCCCTGTCTCTCCATGCACCACTTTATTCCGTGTTTCCCACCCCTTCCACATAACCACCACAGCTAGTAAGAATAGCTCTTCGCGAAGTTTACTTTGTAGCTTTTCGATCCATTTCCAAACAGATGAGTAATCTTCCAGCTCTAGTCTAAATGGATCCGATTCCCAAACTTCCCTCATTCCACCACACTCAGTTAGAGCATGCATAATGGATTCCACGGGAGACCCACATCGAGGACACTCCAGCGAGTGAATAATTTTGCGTCTCCGTAGCTCCGCGTTTGTCGGAAGTATGCCCCAGCATGCATACCAAAGAAAAACCTTAATTTTCGGTGGGACTTTAACCTTCCAAATAAGTTGCCATCTCCAAGGATGAAGACCACTTGTCGACTCTATCCCACCTCGGCAATTACCATTCGAGTTTTGAGTCCCCTGCATAACGACATGGTAGCAAGACCGAACCGAAAATAGGCCATTCTTGGAATAGTGCCATACCCATCGGTCTTTAGCGTATACACTTCCAATAGGGACTTCCAAAATTCTATTTTGATCAATATCCCAAAAATGCTCCCGAATGAGCTCGACATTCCATGTATTTGTCAATGGATCTATCAGATTAGCAACTTTGTCTGGGAAGCTCGAATAAATGGGCCGTCTAGTAATAATCTGGAAATTACCATCATCTCGCAACCAGGGATCGGCCCAGATTGAAGTGTCCTTGCCATCTCCAATACGGCGACGAA